GATTGAAGTTGATGGGTGTATATATCTGTATAGAAAGAAACCTTGAGTGGAGCGACACAAAGCTGAGATGATAGAAAAATAGATGTTTTTGCCAGGTAAAAACGGCCCTTTAAATAGACTGGAGTTACGATGGAGCTCCCATGGCTCGCCTAATATGGTACTATCAAGTGCTGTACGATAACCATAGAAAGTGTCCGAGAATATCTCCGAGGGTGGGTTTCAGTTGAGTCAATTTCTAAAAAAATGCCCCTTCAAGGGGGAGACAGTAGCTGCAAACACACGTCCTGCTACATCGTATTTAAGCGCTATTAATGGTAATGATTGGCTAGGGGTGGGCTTTATGCAGTTGAAACTTCCAAGGTTCTCTTGTGGTGGTTCCTGATCATTATGAGTGAATTGGCAAAAAAAGGAGCCTTGCAGAGTCAATATGAACGTGACAAATTCCTTGGCTGACATTCCATCTCAAATATACAGAATCAAGCTTCTGAATGTCAGCCAATGAACAAATCTTGGCTATCGGAGAGATTTAATCTCAAGTCGCCGAGTGTCATTTTTCCATACTTCGATATCACGTGAGAATAAAGCCCCCGCGCTGACATCAGCAACACGACGCCAGACCCAAATGGGCAAACCATCAACAGCGGCTGCGGCAAAACAATCAATCCCCTCCACTTCACACCTGGCCGACCTATGCACTCTGCTAGCGCGCAGAACGCCGTTTCGGAGTCGCAACCATGAGGATTACCGAAATTGTCATAGATGTGAGTCTCAACATTGTTCCCTGGCTATTAACTGCGCTAACTAGATTGTCAGGGCTTCAAATCGTACGCTGTGCGTACGGTGATTTCGGGATGGTATGCAATCCTCCGCGTCAAAGCATGAGTTAAACCATGGCTTTGATGCAGTCTTGGGGTGATCGGATTTACTAATTGCGCAATGCAGGGACGAAGCCTTCAACTCGATCACCGGCCTGAACGGTAGTGGTAAATCTAACATTCTCGATGCTATTTGCTTCGTGCTTGGTATCACCAACATGACCACAGTTCGCGCGCAAAACCTCCAAGATCTCATCTACAAGCGCGGCCAAGCCGGTGTCACGAAAGCCAGTGTTACAATCGTTTTCGACAACCGGGATACCGCGAAGTCGCCGATCGGATTCGAGGAATATGCGAATATCTCTGTCACTCGACAGATTGTACTAGGCGGCACAAGCAAATACTTGATTAACGGCCACCGTGCGCAACAGCAGACTGTTCAGAACCTGTTCCAGAGTGTCCAGTTGAACATCAATAACCCCAACTTCCTCATTATGCAAGGCCGCATTACGAAAGTCTTGAATATGAAATCGGTCGAGATCTTGTCGATGATCGAGGAGGCAGCTGGTACACGAATGTTCGAGGATCGAAGAGAGAAGGCGAACAGGACAATGGGAAAGAAAGAGCTGAAGCTGCGCGAGATCGAAGAGCTGCTGAAGGAAGAGATTGAGCCTAAGCTCGAGAAGCTTCGGTCAGAGAAGCGCGCCTTCCTCGACTTTCAACAGACGCAAAATGACCTCGAGCGCTTGACCCGACTTGTTGTTGCCCATGACTATGTTCGTGGCGGCGAGCGGTTGAGAATTGCGGGCGAAGAGTGCGAAAACAAACGCAACAAAGCACAAGCACTCGAAGATAACGCGAACAAACTGAAGAGTGAAATTGCTCATTTGGAGGAGGACGTGAAACGGGTGCGCACAGCTCGCGACAAGGAACTCCGAAAAGGCGGAAAATTCCAGGGGCTTGAAGATGAGGTCAAGAACTACTCGCACGAGTTGGTCCGACTGACCACGGTCTTTGATCTGAAGAATGCAAGCATGGACGAAGAGAAAGAGAAACGACAGACCATTCAAAATACTGTCACTGATCTTGAGAAAGTCTTGAAGGAAAAGCGCAAGATCTACGAGAAGCTACAGGCCCAGTACGATATGGCCAAGGCCGAGTTGGATGCACAGAATGTGGAAGTGGAGCAAAAAGAGGAACTGCTTCAGACATTGCAGACTGGTGTCGCATCAAAGGAGGGCCAAGAGAGTGGTTACCAGGGTCAACTGCAAGATGCCCGTAATCGTGCAAGCAATGCCGCCACAGAACAAGAGCAAGGAAAACTCAAAATCAACCATCTTGAGAAGCGAATCAAAGAAGAGGAGCCTCGCGCAAAGAAGGCAAAGGAGCAAAACTTGGGGCTTTTGCGTGATCTCGAAGGGTTAAAGTCTCAAGCTAGCAAGCTGGAGTCAGAGTTGACCCGGCTTGGATTTGAGCCTGGGAAGGAAGAGCAAATATACCAGGAGCAGACTGAGCTTCAACGGGAAATTCGCGAACTCCGCCAGCGGGCTGATGGCCTCAAGCGGCAGGCAGCGAACATCGATTTCAACTACGCAGACCCTCACCCCAACTTTGACCGGTCAAAGGTCAAGGGTTTGGTTGCCCAGCTTTTCACCCTCAACAAGGATCAAGTCCCGGCTGCGACCGCTCTGGAGATCTGCGCCGGTGGTCGTCTTTACAACGTGGTTGTGGACAGCGCAGAAACCGGTACCCAGCTCCTTCAGAGAGGAAAGCTGCGTAAGCGTGTGACTATCATTCCCCTTAATAAGATCTCTGCCTTCAAGGCCTCTGTGGAAAAGATCGGAGCTGCACAGAACCTTGCCCCTGGAAAGGTTGACCTCGCTCTATCCTTGGTTGGATACGACGAGGAAGTTCTAGCGGCGATGAACTATGTCTTCGGCAACACCCTTATCTGCCAGGATGCCGACACAGCTAAGAAGGTAACATTTGATCCGTCAGTTCGGATGAAGAGTGTCACGCTAGAGGGAGATGTGTATGATCCGTCGGGAACACTTTCTGGTGGAAGCTCCCCTAATTCCAGCGGTGTTCTCGTTACTTTGCAAAAGCTCAATGATATCACCAAGGAGCTACGGACCAAAGAACGACAGCTCGCGACTTTAGAAGATCACATGAAGAGGGAAAAGAAGAAGCTCGATTCCGTTCGCTCTATCAAACAACACCTTGATCTCAAGAACCACGAGATTAAGCTCACCGAGGAGCAAATTAATAGCAACTCTTCGTCTTCGGTATGTCTTCCTCCTAACCTGTTCCTCGCAACTTGCAACTAACCCGAACTAGATCATTCAAGCTGTTGAGGAGATGAGAGCAAACATTGAACAACTCAAGAAAGACATCGCCGACGCCAAGTCTCGCCAGGCTGAGGCATCCAAGGATATCAAGCAAATTGAGAAAGACATGAGTGAATTCAGCAACAACAAGGATAGCAAGTTGGAGGAGCTACAGACAACGCTCGATAAACTCAAGAAGAGCTACACCAAAAATTCTAGCTCGGTCAAAGAGCTGCAGAAAGAATTGCAGACTTCCAGATTAGACTCTGAACAAGTTGGAAGCGACTTATCCGCGGCCGAAGAGCAATTGGTCGAGTCAGACAACACCCTCAGTGCTCAAATAGAAGAGATTGAATCACAAAAACGAGAGCAAGCGCGACTGAAGGTATGTGATGCCCTTCCAGCACTACTTGATAACCATATAATTGACAATTCTAGGATGCCCATGACATTGCACAGGCTCAGCTTGACGACGAGAGGGCCAAGCTGACCGGCTTTGACGAGGAGTTGCGAGAATTAGAACAAGCCATGAAGAGCAAGTCCTCTCAGATCACCGAAGATGGACTCGAGGCGCAGAAGCTCGGCCATCAGCTCGAAAAGCTCCAAAAGGATCAGCACACTGCTAGCCAGGCCGTGACATACATGGAGCAGGAACATGAGTGGATTGCGGATGAGAGGGAAAATTTCGGACGTGCCAACACTCCCTACGATTTCCAGAACCAGAACATTGCCGAGTGCAAATCTACCCTACGCAACTTGACAGAGCGATCCCAAGGCATGAAAAAGAAAATCAACCCGAAGGTCATGAACATGATTGACAGCGTCGAGAAGAAGGAGGCTGCTTTGAAGAACATGATGAAGACAGTCATCCGCGACAAGCGAAAGATCGAGGAAACCATCATGAACCTGAACGAATACAAAAAGGAAGCTCTCCACAAGACGTGGGTCAAGGTGAATGGCGACTTCGGACAGATCTTCAACGAGCTCCTACCGGGAAGTTTTGCCAAGCTCGACCCTCCCGAGGGCAAAGACATCACAGACGGTCTCGAGGTCAAGGTGTCCCTGGGCAAGGTCTGGAAGCAGAGTCTGACAGAACTGAGTGGAGGCCAACGATCACTCATTGCTCTCTCGTTGATCATGGCGCTCTTGCAATTCAAGCCCGCGCCAATGTACATTCTAGACGAGGTCGATGCCGCGCTCGATCTGTCACACACACAAAACATTGGTCGACTGATCAAGACCCGTTTCAAGGGTTCTCAGTTCATCGTTGTCTCGTTGAAGGATGGCATGTTCCAAAACGCCAACCGCATCTTCCGCACACGGTTCAGTGAGGGTACCAGTATTGTTCAAGCGTTGACTCCTGCGGATTTGAAATAAGCATGCACATGAGGTTGGTTTGTCTATAGTTTCTTTCTTGGTGCCGGTGGAGTGTGAGATGATTATGTCTGGCCTTTGGTGTTTGGTTGTTTTTGGATGGGAATGGATCTCTGTCTTATGAATAACGCATGGTAAAGACTATTTCGATTTGTTCATGAATATACAATATAAGCGTACAAAGTAAGTGCCATTGTTAATATAATAACTAGTCGTGGAAGACAAGCTTCCAAACTCGGAAACCCCGATAACCGGCACGTGCCCGATTCTCGACCTGATCCGTGCCACCTTCCAACGCGCATTGCGATTTTGTTGAAACTTCCCCCCATTGCGCCCATACCTAAGTATCTCACCTGGGCATCACTTATATTAAATCATATCCAACTCGAGGTCTTGACTCTCGCAGACTCTCTACAGTCAGATACCAACATCGGGGACCCTGAACGCCTGACTCAACTTGCGCTCCGCCAACCCAAGACACAAGATGACAGACGAGGAACCTTCGCTGAACATACCGTCGCTTCTCACTCTAGCGGTTGTATCGTACTTTGTTCTCCGGTGGTTCTTTAACCGCGATGATAGCTCCGCGGGAGGAAACCGAGGTCGGGGGCGTGGCAATGTTGTCGATCCGGCACAGGTGGAACAGATCGCGCAGATGTTCCCTCAACTGAGCACACGGGATATAATGTGGGATCTGCAGCGTAATGGGGGAAGTGTTGCCGCAACGACAGAGCGGGTTCTGACTGGACGGGGCCTGGAAACGGTACGTGCTACGCTGATGCTGTCATTAATCTTCCCCGCCTCGGTCTTCTCCAAGACAAGGCGATTTGGTTGCAGGCCTCAAACATCAACTTTGAATTGATAAATAAACAGTAGCTAATCCAATCTCTTAGCCCCCTCCTTCCTTCCAGCCTCAGGTCGCAATTCCCCCCACCAACATCCCGCCGACGCAGACCGCCACGGCCGCACCCGTGCCCAAAGCAGACGCACAAGACTTGATATCTCGGTATAATCTGAGTGCAAAGGCCGAGAGCCCTCCTACAGAGTCACAACCCGAGACACCTTCCAAGTCCTCCTGGTCTCAGAATAAGGAAGAGCGCCAGCGGATCCTGCAGAAGCGTCGGGATGATATGATCTTAGCAGCGCGGAGGAAGATGATGCAAAAGAACCAGGGCGATGTTCAATGATATGAGAATTATTATGCTCGCCTGTTCGACAATGTGACTTTCTGTACACTGCTTTTTGACGTCGATAAACCTGGCCAAACTCGGCACCAGTGTTTCCTCGAGGCTGATATACCCTCTCCATTCTTTCGATTTGATTTCGCGGCATCATTATTGTATTAAAGCGTTCGCATGCTGTATGGTGTTAGTTCAAATTGGAACAGTTTCGATTATAACCGTTGGTCATTGGATCCGGAGGGTATATTGGATTATATACATGAAAGTCGTTTTGGGCATTGGTCTGCGTCACATATGCACCGAATAACTCCAAATGAAAGATACCCCCAAAACAGGAAAAAAAAAAACAAAAATGGTCTCAAATGCTTAGAACTCCATATAATCTTCTTCTTCGTCGTCGTCCTGGGTGCCATCGTAACCACCGTTTGCTCTCTGCTCGGCCATCTGTTCACGTCGAGCCTGTTCCTTGGAGGACCCAATTCTCCTATGAGCCAGTTAGCAAAAAATTTCCCTATATACTCGAATATATAAGTATCCGAGAAAGAGACCAAACATACCGAAGGCCATCCACCACGCCAGTGATAAATCCTCGCTCTTCTCCCAGCTCCATAGAACCGACACCCGTCAAAGCAACACCACCGCCACCGGTCGCCGCAGCATCTAGCACATCAACACCAGACCTCATTTTCGCCATGCGCACCTCACGCAGGTCCTTTAGCAGTCTCCGAATCTGATCCGGATCCACGAGATCATCACTCGCGGCGTCAAGCAGCATATTCCCAACCTCAACCCAGTGAAACGGTAGTGAGGGGGATCCCGCGAAGAGGTCACTGTCTGGGCTGTGTTTTGAGGTAGGAAAGGCGGCGCGGGATAGTATCGATTGCCATCTGGGGTATACTGCGGCCGAGCAGATGGCAGGGCATCGCGGTCCAAAATGCTAGGTTGGCCGGGCAGGGGCGGAGGCGGGGAGAAAGCGTTTTTGTAGTCTTGGTGCTGGGACTCTACTTCGAGGATGAGGGCTAATGGCTCTGGGTGTAGCCATGTTGGTGGGATAATGTTTGCGCGGCGTTGGCGTTTGAGGAGGAGGGCGAGCCAGAGAGGGAGGGACGCGCGTCGGGGTGGGAGGAGAGGTTCAATAGGTCCCTGGGCAATGTTAGCTTTGGGGGAGTTCAGATGAAGTAGTTGGGGGGCGCATTCACTCCTAATAGTTCGAGGCCTTCTAGACGCTGGCGGGGCACAATTGTCACTGTTTCCATCTCTGCCAGGAAGGCGATTTCTGAGGCTGTGACGCCCCGAGGAAGAGGGAAAGCCATTGATGGTGTGTATAAGGAGGTAAAGGCGATTTAAATTGTTATGAGAGTCGCGATCTCATCGTTTTTCTTGGGATGATATAGGTCGTCTTGATCGTGGTCTTGACTGTTTGCTTTGCGTTTCCTTTCGTTTCGGCTTTTTTTTTTCTGTTCCTTCTTATTTGATGATTATGTTTCTGCTTCTCAAATGCTCAATTGGATTTTATTAAATGTCTTCTTTCAAGTCGCGTCGAGATGGTCACTTCGAAACGTTCAAAAGGTTTGAAACGTTTGCATCGGTCGAGCTCCGCAACCTCCGACTAGGACTCCGAGGCCGACGAACTGCAGATCGTCTGGCAACTTCACTTGTTTGCTGCGGATGATTATTTGGATAGCATGGCCAATCCTCCAGAATCGGATCGCAGCCGGAGTGCTCGATGGTTGGTTCCGTTTTGCTTGGTCTTGATTCCTCTCTGGGTGAGTCTTGTCAATAAGGCTGTCCCCGAACCCTACCTCGACGAAGTCTTTCATGTCCCGCAAGCACAAGCATACTGGTCGCATAAGTGGACGCAATGGGATCCGAAGCTCACGACACCGCCGGGCCTGTATTTGTGCTCGTATATCATCTTCGCTATTGTGCTGCTGCTACGCGGATCCCCGACAAAGCTCACCCCGGATGTCCTGCGCATGACGAATGTTGGTGCAACAACAGTTGTTTTCCCTTGGAGACTACAAAAGTTGCTTGATACCCTACAGAAAACAACCAATACTCGGCCATTGGGAGCGAACGTGTCTCATACCGTGCTGAACATCTGCTTGTTCCCCCCGCTGTTCTTCTTCTCTGGCCTCTACTACACCGATGTTCTTGCTTTGCTGGTTGTCGTGGAGGCATACAATTGGGACTTGAAAAGAGATGCAGAGAGAGATCAGCAAACCGATTCTGGTGAAGACACGAAAAAACCGCCTCGCAATGAGTTTTTGGAGACATTGGGATTCCTGGCTTTCGCGCTGGCTGCACTGGTTTTCCGACAAACCAATATCTTCTGGGTCTCGGTTTTCCTAGGTGGACTTCAGGTGGTCCGCAAGATTCGAAAGTCTTCCACGCCCTGCATGTCATCCAAAGTGGCAACTATCGTGAAGCAAGGCATGCAGAATGAGGTGTATGATCCTCTCGTTTCGGAGGCTTCCTTGGAAGGTAAATTGATCTGATATGAAGCAATCAGGGAATTATGCTAACCTAACATCTAGATTACCTGAAGACCGCTATTTCACTTGCGACTGTCGGCCTGAGACAGCCTTTCTCTCTCCTCGTTTCTCTCATCCCTCACATCATCGTCCTTGCGGCCTTTGGTGCATTTGTACTTTGGAACAACGGAGTCGTCCTAGGTAAGAGCGACTTGTCTTATTACATCAAATGCGGTTTTTTACTGACACCTGTTATTCAATAGGCCACAAGGAATTCCATACCGCAGGTATCCACCTGGCTCAGATGCTCTACATCTGGCCGTATTTCACCTTCTTCTCATGGCCGCTTTTCGTCATTCCCCTGATCAACATTTTAGCCCCAAAGCCACTTCCTCAATATTTGAACCTCGGCTTCCCGCCGAAACAGAGAAAATATCCCAAGCTCATGGCAGCCCTGATTGTGATTCCGCTTATGCTTGCCGTGGTCCATTTCAACACCATTGTGCACCCCTTCACCCTTGCTGATAACCGCCACTATGTATTCTACGTGTTCCGGATTCTTTTGCTTCACCCAGCAGTCAAGTATGCTGCAGTGCCAGTCTATTTCCTCTGCGGATGGGTCGTGATCTCCGCCTTTGGATTTACCACCATCCAACGTCCACCCAAAACCCTACGAGTTCAGAGATCTGCCCCAGCTGTGCCCCCGGCTCCAACTCCGGCTCCAGTTCCAACCCCAGCAGCTCCAGCAGCTCAAGAGCCTAAACCCACCAAGCCTTCTGTGCGCAAGCCTTTAGAGGCGCACCAACAACCACCAAAGGGAACAAAGAAACCCAACCGACCCATTAATAAGAAGACCAAAAAGGCCGATCCACCAGCAGAGACCAAGATGGCTGAGCCGGTATCAGGGACCAAGAACAGTGATCCATCTCAGCTACCAGCAGCGGTTACGGATCCAAATGATCCCGCGGTCCTGGCTAGGGTCCAGCAACACATCTTCACGCGGCAGAGAGAATTACTAGAGGCACCGCGCGTTAGCTTCGTCCTTATTTGGCTGGCCGCTACTTCTCTTTCGCTCATCACAGCACCCCTTGTCGAACCCCGCTACTTCATCATCCCGTGGGTTATGTGGCGTGTTCATCTTCCTCCTCTGCCGTGTCTGCTCAGGGACCGGGAGACTCGTCCCCGGACAGAGGAAGCTAAGCGCCGCTCCGACCTCATTATCAACACCCCAAAGTTTGTGGAGACGGTTTGGTTCTTGACCATTAATTTCATCACTGGGTATGTCTTCCTGTACAAGGGTTTTGAGTGGCCACAGGAGCCTGGCAAGACTCAGCGCTTCATGTGGTGATCCTTCTACCTTTTGTTTCATTATAATATTTCTTTTGACCTGCCTTGGTTTGGTCGCTTGTATAATAGAAATAGAAATTTGCTCGAGTAATCTTTGAAAAGCCAATGACTTTTATGTAGTGTGTTATTGAACCTAGATTTGGTATATCATGTACCCAAGGCGAGCTTCATCATCGCTCGAGGGGACCGTAGACTGTAGATCTCATCCTCGACGAAGAAAGAGCGATACGTACATATCCCGTATTGCAATAAATTATACATATGTGCCAAGTGCGAAACGAGACACCCTTCCTTCTCCCATCGTCAATCATATCTACTGCTGCTCCTTCCACGTGGTATATTTGGTGTAAATATCACGGCGGAAGGTTTGCTTCAGTTCGGCCATGAAGTCCCCATCGACCGGCAGCGCAGCCTGGATAGCACCAACACCACAGAGGTTGTTCTTCCGGTCAATAAACCAAGTGAGCGTCAAGCCACCACCCCAGGTCAACGTGCCCTCGCCATACCAACCATCAACATCCTCAAGCGTCAGCAAACCGCCCAAACCATACCCAACCTTCGATTCCAGATCAGTCCCAACGCGGAAGGAGGGCCCGATAGGACCAGCAAGCGCAGCCTTATGACTAGCCGCCGCTTCGGGGCCAAGGTGTTGCTGGAACATATTGTCGACGGTAGCAGTATTGAGCAACTTGCCATCATTAGCCAACAGCGAGCGCAGAACCTTGACAAAATCCAACCCGGTCATGAACAACCCATGGCCACCAAAGTCACCACGGCCACGCAAGTTCATATCGCCACCACCACCGAGCACGGCACTACCAAGAGCACCGGGGTCACTGGGGTTAAGATCGACGAGACGGGCGCGCAGATCCTCACGGGTAACAGGATAGAACTGGGCATCTGAGATACCGAGCGGGTCAAAGATACGCTTCTGCATGAATTCCAACAACGTGCCGCCAGTGACTCGCTCCACGATACGACCAGCCCAGTCAAGACCAGGCCCGTACATCCAGCCAGTACCGGGCTGGAAGCTGAGCGGGTAGTTGAATAGTTCCTCGACGGGACGAGGTTCTTGATTCTCGGAATTACCGAACTGCGCACGCCACTTGGCGATCATCGGGTTCAGGAAGAAGTAGGTAGTGCCGGAGGTGTGTGTGAGCAGCATTTTGAGGGTGATGGGACGGGCTGGTGGGTCGAACTGAGGACTTCCATCATCGGCAAAGCCGGTGAGAACATGCTTAGCCGCGAGTTCTGGGGCGATGGATGACAGGTCGCCGTCTAGGGTTAGAAGGCCATCTTCGACGCACTGTAGGGCGGCGATGGTTGCAAACAATTTGGTGGCCGAGGCTGTGTATAGCACATCGTCGAGCTGCTGTGGCTTCTTCTCACCTGAGAGTAGAGTGCGCTCTCCGGATGCCTTGTTGTACACGAAGTGGCCTTCGGCATCAGTGGCACATACTACAGCGCCGTTGATCTTGCCAGCGTCGATAGCGGATTGAAAGCTAGCTTCCATGTTTGTTTTTGGAGAAAATAATACTGATTCAGAGGGGTTATTTGGTTAGCAGGAGGGAGGTTTAAATAGTAGTTAGGCTATGTACGGAATACATAAAATCCGAGTAACTAGTTAGTTCGGGGTCTCTTTTTGGATACTCGGGGTCGGGCCTGGGGCATCACAGACTAGAACAGTAGGCGGTCTTATCCTCCCCCACCCGCCAACTATATTGTCCTAAATGGGAAAGCGGTATCTTTCTGCCGTAAAGTGAGGTTAAAATGAACCAAACGCATCATTTGTCGCCCTTCGGGGCATACTGGTCAAATGAAAATATACAGAGAAGATTAGCATGTCCCGTGCACTAGGTTGACATGCATGATCAAAGAGAAGATACCCATTTTTTTAAAAAAAATTCACGCGACCTCATATAAGATGATAAAGTATCGGCTTTCTACATAATGCAGTTGTATATAGGTCACGTGCTGTCGCCGTTCAACCCTTGCGCGTTGTGGTTGTGCGGTTGTTTTTTTGGAGAGCATATGTACCTTAACCCTCCTGAATTTGATATAAATTTACAAGTCATAATGTATTTAGAATATAAATTTATATGTAGATGTTTTATTATGAAATCACGAAGAATATAATATCAGAGCAAGCAACAATCAACCAAGCTATATTTTTTTTAATGCTGATTTGAATAGAATTCGGTTTGCCCTGACCTTGTCTTTTGGCTATTAATGCACTATTCTGGTCCAACAACCAATCAACTGGGCTTGTGGTTTAGTGGTATAATACTCCCTTAGCATGGGAGTGGTCCGGGGTTCGATTCCCCGCGAGTCCATTTTTTTTGGTTTCCTCGAGTCAACGGGTGCCGTAGCCCTAAGTCGCGATTATATATATTCTAAGTGAAACCCTTCGGATAGTACTCGCTCGTGACTAAACAGGATCTACTTGAGTGTTATTATTATTTTTTAAAGCTGAATTAAGTTGATTGAATTCA